CCGCCGTGCTCGGCCCTGCCGCGGCCCCCAGCGGAGCAGCTCAGGGGGCGGCCGGAGGCTGAGCACGGCGTGCACGGGCAGGGGGCACAGAACCTCCCCATCACTCCGTCTTTTCGGGCCCCGTTCATGAAAGAGGTTTTCGAATAAACCAAAGTTAAAGTCACTAATTCAGAAAACTCAGCTGGTGTTTCTAAAGAATTAACTCGCTTAGAAGCAACATTTCATCTGCTCTAAGGGCCATCCTCCCTCGCCAGTAACAATAGTCACTTGTTGCTATCTAAAAACATTTCTTGGCATTAAAAGCCTCTTTGACACTTGGCCAGGTGAAAATCCCTTTTCCCTGGGTGCTCTCCGTGGCACCTGGAAGGGCTGAATACCCACGCGAGTGCCCATCCAGGATGCCCGCTCCTGGGAGCAATTCTCATCCCCCAGGGTCCGTGCTCCTTCCCTGGGTCGACGTAATTTCGGAGAAAGGCCGATGAATAACCACTGTTGACTCAGGTGGGTCAGCGTCTGCCCCGACTGGGGTCGATGCCCGGCCCCGAGCAGTCGCTGCCGGCCCCGCTCCTCCTCCAGCCCGCACCCCCTCTCCGGCCCCCCAAGGTCAGGGCGACTCGGGGGTAAACACCCACGCTTCCAGCCTGGGCTGGCCAGCCAGGTTTTCCTCCTCCCAACACAGAGCCCATTCCCATGTGGGCACGGGCAAAACCGAAACACGGGGTGGGAGGCTGAAACACAGCAAAAAAACACAGCAGAGAGCCCACATGAGACTCCTGTAACCGAGCTGAAAACTCGGGGTGGCTGGTGACTGGCACAGTACTGAGGGAAAAGCTGCTTACAACACACCTGGCAGAGGAGAGGTTTGGGTTTTCTCCTGCCACTGGCAGAAAACTGGATGGCCAGAGTGGCGAGTGTTACAGAGTTTAGGTTTATTTCACAGATATGTCCATCAAAAATTAAATACCAGGTTTTGCCTTTTTTTTTTTTTTTAACACTGAACAAATATGTACAAAATATGAACAATGTGAGGTACAAAACCACAAGACTTTTAAAGAAAACTAGTATGTACAGAAGCGGATATGTGTATGATAGGCATTGTCTTCCCATGGCTGTGTGCCTCATTTATGCCCTTGCAGCTGATGCCAGTTTCTGTCCTGCAGCAGGGCCCTATTGCTCCCTGCAATTTCTTCTCAAATATGAAATCCATAAAAAAGTCCTTGAGATTTTAAATGATTTTTTTTTTTTTTTTTTTTTTTTTTTGCAAATGGAACCATCCAAACTGTGAGGCAAAATTCTCAAAAATCTGAGAAGGCACATCTCCTCTCTTTCAAGAAGAAAAAGGAATCTGTCCAACAACTCTACCTGACAAAGGGATGTCTCAGTAGAGAGCACCATGGCACATAAAAGGGTGTGAGCATAAGGCACTTCTCGGGACTGTCAAATCCCTCCCTATTTCACAGAACATGTTTCTCTGCTTACAAAGGGCGTTTAAATTAATCTATTTAAAGTATGTTTGTTTACACATATAAAGGTCTTAGTCCTGCAATCCATACTCACTTCCACACTAGTTAGAGTTTTGCCTGATCACCAACAGCAGCTGATTCAGACCCTCTCCACCATCATGAGTAAGGACAGGGTGCAGGATTATATTCCACTTAGAACATTGATTATTGTACAAACATATTTTACAAATAATTAAATACAAACCACGGTCCTTTAACCAAATGAGAAATACCAAAACTGAACTGCTTGCAGAAAATACATCCTTCTTCCTCTGCTTATTATAAAATTAGTCTATTTGGTGATGCTTTTTTCTTTCAGTGTAACGGTGAAAGTTTTCTCCTGTAGTACAATATTCTTTCAAACCAGCCCCTGGTAAAGTGCAAGCCGAGTTAGGGTCTGCTCTCTGCACAGGACTGTTAGTGGGCAGCAGTGTAATAGCCTTTATCACCTTCAATGTCCACTTCTTGATCAGAGTCATCAGAGACATCTGACTCCAGGTCCTCCTGTGAGGCTGGTGAGGGGGTGTACTGTGAGCCATCCAGAGAGACCTCCTTACCCTTCTGCTCGGGGCTCTGGCAGCTCTCCGGCCTTTGGTCACTGTGACTGTCAGCACCTTCTACTTCTTCTTTTTTGGTGGCCTGGGGGTTCTCCTGCAATGAAAGAATCCTGCTTGGCACAGAACTACAAGCCACAGAGACAGGAGGTCCAGGAATTCCAGCTGTGCTGTGTGGGAAAACCACCTCGGGTTTCTTGCAGAAAAAGGCAGGTGTCCTGCTACCTCCCTGGGCCTCCTGCCCATAAACCTGCCCGAGTGGGACAGGGCCAGGCAAGGGCTCTGATCCCGCTCCCTCACAGCCACAGGGGCTGCTGCCGTGAATAAGGCTCCTTGGCGATGGTTATCACAGCCACTTCAAAAGAGTCAGGAGCTGCTGGAGCCCAGGAACCTCTGAACTTTTGTCTTTAGCAAAGCAAATGTTTATTATGAGTCTACAAACACCGACACACAGCTTCCTCCTGCCCTGATCTTTCTTTAATTACACCCGGCAGCAAGAAGAGGGAGGTTGAATCCATCACTGGCCCAAAAACATACGGAAAAAAAAATACTAATTAAGCTAAAACTTAACATTAAAACACTAACCACTAAAACCAAACCAAAACCCTTTTTGGGAAGGCAAGAGTAGCCCTATGTTGGCACCTGTCTGGAGAGCCCAGTCCGCTAAGGGGGCATGAAATGATACTATAAAGAAAAAGCAGGCAGAGACACGTACCCATGATATAACCTTGCAGGCTGGGAGAAATGGATGTGACTGAATGAAAAGGAGGAAATGACTTAAAATGGCCGAGATCCCAAGCGAGCTCTCCGGACACTGTGGCATGGGTTGGGCCCTAGCCAGCCTCTTGCCAGAATAATAAGACTTTATTAAAAAATCAACTGAAGACTGAGTTAAACTCAGGCGAATATCACAGAACAGATTCATCTAGAGCATGATACTGTGATCAGTACTTTACTTTTACATTAAAGGCTAATTTGCCAGTAAAACATGTGTGCCCATGTCACGCTTACTGAAGCCAGACTCAAGCCAAAACATCGGAATTTTTCAAAAATACTTGAGCCAAGGGACCTCGGTTTTGCCGAGCCAGGCACAGCCCCTATGTGCCATAAAAATCCCTAAATAATTATCTGCTTGATCATGATTTCTAAGGGAAGGGAAACTCCTTTAATTTCTTAGCCTCATACACTATAACTGTTTGTGAAAGGAAAGTAAAAGCTACTCAGTTTTCCATGCAGCTCCTCTAGACAAGCAAGGTGTTTGTACCTGCCTTCTCCCAATGTTAGCAAAATACATTGACATGTGTTTATTAAGAGAGGGCATTTTAAAACACCAGTTAATATTCTCCAAAAAAACTGCCTAAGTAATTTACTGACAATTACTTATCTCCTCCACATTAATTGGCTAAACAACATATGGGTTTACAAAACAATTAGCGTGGAGTTTTAATAGGTGGTGTGTGAAAGAAGGGCATAATTGATATAGGAACTGCATTAGAAGCTTTTAACGTTAGTGCTGCCTGAACGAGCCCTCATGGATTCCAGCATGACTATTTGTCTTTTTAATCAAGGTGAAGAGGTTAAACAGCCTTTCAGATGACTTCTGCATACAACCTGGAATAGGTGAGCACGGCGTAAGATAAGACAATTAAAATACTTATTTCTATAGAAACAGAAACATCCACGTACCTGCTTTAGACGCCTCCATTTGGCTCTGCGATTCTGAAACCAGGTTTTGACCTGAGCAACGACAACGAGAAAAGGTGCGGGGTAGGCTTGGAGCCAGTAAGTGCCCGGAGCCCTACCCAAGCCACGAGCAAAAAAGCAAGAACCTGCCAAGCACCCCTCCCGTGCCGAGCCCGAGCCGGCCAGGTCCCCGGGAGCGATGCAGCGACAGCAGCTGCACGGCAGGGCCCGGAGCGGCCGGCAAGGGGGTGCGGTTCCCCGGGGCGGGGGCACGGCCTCACCTGCCTCTCGCTGAGCTGCAGCATCTTGGCCAGGCGCTTCCTCTCCGGCGGGGAGAGGTATTTCTGCGTCTCGAACTTCTTCTCCAACTCGATGGTCTGGTCGTTGGAGAAGCGGACCTGCCCCCCCTTCCTCTTGTGCAGCGGCCGCTGGATGAAGGGGCTCCACAGCAGCGGCTTCCCTACAAAGAGAGGCACAGACCGAGGGTCACTGGCCGGCCGTGGACACCCGTGACTGGGGAACCCCGGCCCTGCCCCGGCTCAGGGCTCGCTAATTTCCTTCGCCTGATTTTATTTCTCCCAGTTCCTGCTCTGATCTTTCCCCTCTCTGATTTTTTCCCCTCCGCCAAACAGACCAGTTAAAGTCACTCTACGGGCTTTGGCAACATTTCCGTCAATGTGTTTCCTGTTGGTCTATCTCGCACAGAAAGAGACCAAAAAAAAAAAAAAAAAAAAAAAAAAAAAAAAAAAAAAGACCTTTGCTTCCTTCTGCTCTTTCACCGCGATGCCCCAAAGAAACTGTCTCCCTTTCTCTGAGCCAGTGGCCGGGTCCCTGCGGAGAGCGGGGACATCGCGGGGCTGGGCAGGGGTGATGCGCCAACAGGAGGGCACTGGGCTTCTAGGAAGAAGAGCCCCCATGTCCCCCATCCTTGGCTGGGGGTTTGCCCTCCCGGGGCCGCGGGGTGCCCGCCTGGCTCGGCCCCGGGCCGGCTGAGAGGCGAGGCGGTGCAGGCAGCGACACGTCGGGGGAGCAGCCCCGCTACGGAGCCACGGCCGCGTCCCGGGACAGGAGGCTCTGGCCGGTGCCACTGAGTCACGCTGTTTGTCTTTGTGCCTGCACCCTTTGCAGTTTGCTGCATTGTTTTTCGAGATTTTGCTTGCGTCAGGCTTTAGTAATTCTGGTGCAAAACAGACTCAAAAAATAGGAAGCAACTGGTTATTTTAGCTGTCATAAAGTCACATCCCACACAGAGGAAATGAACAATATCAGAAAAACGGATCCCGGCTATCAGAAGTCGAGTGTTTCCTGAATTTGTCTGTATTGAGGATGTCGATAAAGTAATCAGCAATGTGCACGACTCCCGGGGAAGAGCCTGCTTCAGGCGGCCAGGAAAACACTTAACAGCTTCTGAAACCAGATTTACTCCTATCGAGAGCTCAAGGTTTCCTGTATGAACGGAAAGGGTCAGCCTCTTTCACTGCACAAATGCGGTGAGTCAGGTCCAGTTTTGCAATCACTAAGAACAAGTGCTGCAGCCCGGGCACGGGGCTCAGCCCCCGCAGAGGGGTCGCTTACCCCGGCCAAGGGCACGAAGCAGCCGCCGCGGCCCGAGCCGACCCGCGGAGGAACCTCGGGGGCCCCAGCGAGCGGAGCCGGCCTCCCGACTGTTTTTCAAGTCATCCGCAGGAAAGACTGAGATCTGCCATGCGATCTCCAAGCACAATTAAAACTCCCCACCAAAACCACACGCGACATTACTAAGGACACTCTCAGAGTCACTTGGTT